AATGCATATTCTCTGTACTTGTAAAGAAAAATAATAGCCACATATCAAGGACTCTGAAAGCTCCCATAGTCAGGAAATATGTTTAATAAATTTATTTTACCTGGATTCTCACATATACTGGCCTTAAGAACCTGGTTATCAACTTCTTTTTTTTTCTCTCTCTCTCTCTCTTATTGAGTTTATTGGTACATTTTAGGTATACAGTACTGTTACATTTATCATTGGGATCTTGTACCTTTACATGACAAGTCTTGGTTCTCATTTTTTCGCCTTGTCCCTGCCCTCACTTCACCCCCTCCTACCCTCCCCGTTTACAAAGACTTCATTTCCATTTTTTCATTTTTCTCATATATTTTTCATTTCCCTTTTTACCTGTCCCCTACCCTTCCCACTGGTATCAACTTCTGAGAAGTCCTGAATATTCAAGACACTTAAAATGAACTATGATGGAAAATTTGTTTCTCATTTGGAAGCCTACCATGGAACTCCAATGGAAAGAAATTGGACACTTTTTATTACTTTAGGTTTAGAAGTGAAAATGTAAGAATTGTATTCTTAAGACAAATGGAAAATGATTCAGATTTGTTTGACTTGCTGAGTGATTTTTTAATTTTTAGGATCTTCTATGTAAACTACTAATTATTATTATTATTTGGGGGGTTTGTTTGAGACAGGGTCTCATTATGTAGTTGAGACTGACCTGGAACTCACTATGTAGCCCAGGCTGGTCTCGAACTCACAGCGATCCTCCTGCCTCAGCCTCCCGAGTACTGGGATTACAGGCGTGTGCCACCACATCCACCTATAAACTAGTAATTATGATGCAGCGATCAGATGGTATATAATTATATCCATAAAATAATGGATAATGAGCAATTTTTAAAAGGAAAAAAATTCCCTAAAGTAATTATTGGTTAATGAAAATAAATTAATTTGGTTCAGTATTTAAAAAATTAAAAATTACTGTCATTCCCTGCAGCAGTATATATTCATATATAAGTTCTTTCATGTGGAAAATGACAACAGAAAAATGCTGAAATATTAAAGAAATGTGCCTTCCATTGCTTTTTCACCTATAAATTTAACGCTACAGCTCAAAATGGTAAATTTCTAGAGAGGATGGCAAGCAGATGTTCTAGTAGAGAAGGGATCAGATGTGAACCAAATATTCTTGTCTCTGGCAGCCACACTCTTAACCCATAACTGGTGTTGCAGCTCCCTATGAAAGAAAAACAAATTGGTAGTAATAACAGTTCTCCTTCCCCTCCTCCCTACTGCCTTAAGTGCCCAACAAAACTAAATTTGTGTTGTAAAATTCCAAAATGCCATCATAAAAAGTCTGTGTGGGAAAATACAGTGGACCCTCAAGTTACAGCCAGCCTGACATATTAACAACTTGGGTTATGACTGGAATTTTAGTTTTAACTTAAAGCCAAAGTCCTGAGTGGTTACCTGAATGCCAGTCACTTGTGCTTCCCTATGGTCTCAGATACGGATCTTATCATTACAGAGTTCTGGAAGGAACATTACGTATCCTCCCCTTTGTGGGGTCAATTGAGAAATCCTGGGCCAGTGTCTCACTTAAGGACGCTGAGATCTGCCTGAAAGCAAGTGTGGCCTCAAATTATACAGGGGAGAGACTTTGAAGGAAATTGACCAACCTGAGTTGCAAAAGCCTTTCAGAACGAACTGAGTTCATGAGTCAAGGGTCCGCTGTGCTATGCTAAACTACTACACAATGGTTGCATTTTGGGATATTTCGAGTGAATATTGCAGAAGTCTGCTCTGTTTTACCGCACTTCCCTCTTTTAGGCTCCACCTGTTTGCTCCAAAAACAATTCCCACTAGCAGTTAGTTGTTACTTGTCAAGAACATGGGTGATACTGGTGACCACTTAATCCAACTGATTCTGTGCAGATGGACTAATTTTGTCCCCAAATCTAAGTTGATCATAAAAATGTATTTAGTGGCTATTATAGACACATGCTCATATTTTCATAAAGTTTATTATAGCACAGAATTACAAACATTTCATGACTTACTTTTTTTGATATGAGAAATCTTATAGTTGAGAGTATTGATTGGGGAAAACAAAAGTATAATTCCTCTAATTTATAAAATCTATTCCCTCTTAGTATCACTTAAGTTTTGCTATCGAAATGTAAGGTGGGACTAAATATAATTACTGAATCTGTTCATAAAGTGAATTGTAGAAAAATAATCAGTTGCTATAGCTTGTAATGAAATAATTATGAAGTAAACTTTTAGAACATTAATATTTAAAGATAGTTCTGATAGGATGTGTATTATTGATTTTGGAAGCAAGGGTGGGAAACTGTTTTTCATAACGGAGTTGTCACCAAACACCAAGACTTTGGAGCAGAATTCTAAAGAAAGCTTCTGTGTTGTCATCCTCCAAAGAGAAACTGATGTCTTGAGGACTTGAGATCTTTTTTCTCCTGGTCAGCAGGGCTGGTGGTTGAAAGGAGAGTTTGGTTAGGTACTGTTTTTCTTTTCCCTCCATGATAATCCCTAAGGCATTACTGAAATTGTTCTCAGGGATGCCGGAGACACGCACTCTTTGACACTTGGACTTTTGACACTCTTCCAGGATGATGCCTGTGTGCTTATGTTATTGCCCATATAAGGTGAGGTCAAGCACCTGTTTCCAGCTGTGGACAAATCACTGGGAGGAGGCCATTCTGTACTTGCGGAAGGGCTTCTGAATCCTGGTGTCCTGTCTTTGTCTCATCCTTACTTCTTTTTTTGTGATACTGGGCTTTGTCTCATCCTTGTGTCCAAATCCAGCTCCTTCTGGGCTCAGTTCACTGTCTCCCTCAGCAGAGTGCTGACACAGCAAATACTTTATATGGTGATGCAGCCTTTTAAAGCAGTACCAAGGGCCTCGTCAACCTTCTGAGCTGACGCACAGTCCAGACAGACTGTCTGTTGGTCTTCTATGGGAGTAATCTGTTCAAGAAACTGTGACTTGTTTTTAATTATAATTCACTCCTTGGTTCTAGCTCAGAGGCATATCACTGAATCTACTTTAACTTCATGGCAGTAATTTTTTAAATTGATAAATTCTAGTGTAATCTGCAGTTCTCTGCACAGCTTAAAAGCTGAACTGTAGACCCAGGCCAGCATAATGATACTTAACTGATACTTTGGGGATATTGCTGTATCTTTTGGAATATTGCTGATTGAGAAATCTGAGTTTAGATATTTCTGCAATGGGAAAAAGACAATTGATATGAAAGGAAAAAGAAGAATTTTATGTTGGAAATAAGTGGACTACAGTGTAAATTGTCATTTGATCATTTACTGTGATAATACCAAACCTAGGAACTGGATGTCATTTACATATCTCCAGCTGTGGACATCCTCAGAAAAGTATTTACTTCATCAATTCCTATACAAAAATTTTTCATTTTTATTATTATTATTTGTTTGTTTGAGTCAGAGTCTCAGGCTGGTCTCTAACTCACAGTGATCCTCCTGCTTCAGCCTTCCGAGTGTTAGGATTACAGGCATGCGCCACCACACCCAGCTTTCTATACAAAAATTTTTAATTTGGGGGGAATTTGCTCATAGGAACAAGAAAGTAGGGGTAAAAATCTCTGGCATACTCACTCTTGTGTAAATAACCATTGAAATCACACAATAGAAGGAAATCAGACCTACTTATTACTGTTTTTATCATTTTAAAATGTGATCTTAATTGTATTGTGCACATTCTTGTCTATCAAATACCACACTGTAAAAGGTAATTTAGCCCTTTTTTTTTTTTGAAGACTGAATACCTACATTGTGTGAATGGGGCACCCTTTAATGCGATGTCATTACAATATCGTTTCCTGGGCCACTGAGATCTGCAGGTGCCTTTTTTGCACCTGCGCTAAAGATCTTGGACTGCTCTCTGTGTGAGTGATGATGCTTCTGTGTCTTCTGTGCCAGGGGTCTCGCCTGTGTGCCTCATGCGGGAATTGTTCTGTTCACAGTGTGCACATCCGTCTAAGAACTACTGAACGCGAGCAAGTCATTTTCTCTCTCTGTGTCTAAGATCCTTTGTCTGTAAAATGGGCATTAACGATATCTACTTCGTATAGTTGCTGTGAAGATGAACTGAGATGATATCTATAAAGTTCTCAGAGCAGTGTAGTACCCAGTAAGGGTTAAACAGTTCAAAATTATTGTCATACCACCGGATGAGTGATTGTTTAAGCTTCTTTTAAAAGGAAAAATAAGAAAAAAAATTTTATCTGGTTGAGGATGATTTATACTTTCTTTTTCAAGGTAGGAGTCTACTAGAGTGAAGGAATTTGTATGAAAGGAGCAGAACTGAAAGGATCACTTGAAATACGGCTATATTCACCAGTGTATGGGGAGATGTTCGTAGCATCTCCTTGGGAGTTTTCAAAGGAGATTTTTAAAAAGAGATAAGGGAAATAAACCAGAAATACATGGAGGTGGAGGGCATTGGGTACAAAGCTTATGCCTGGAGCTAAAAATATCTCTTGTATGGGATAAGAGCTAATGAGCTAATAGCATGTTTGTTGTGTGTGTGTGTGTGTGTGTGTGTGTGTGTGTGTGTTTTAAACTACCTGTATAACTCATATGTTTTTCTCCGCTTCTTGAATGGAGAAGGGCATGGCCATCTGCTTTGTGAAGAAAAGCAGCCACTGCTTCCACGTGGTGTGTTTGTGTGAAGGGGTGCTGTGCCTGCCACTGCAAAGCTTGCAGCTGCTTCTTGCTCTTCGCAGGTGTTTCTTGGGGGCGTGGGAGGCAGAGGACTCACCACACCTGTGGCTCATGCTGTGCCTTACCGCGCACAGCTGCACCAGTGCTGGCCCTGACACTCCTCCAGCTGGGCTTGGCTGATGCCTGCCCTTTGGCCTGGCTCCCTGGCCAGAGGCCACTCGGTTGTAATTTGTCCCTGGGCTCAGAGGTAAGGTACAGCCCTATCAGTCTACAGTGTGTGTTTATCTTGTAATTTTCAGACAAGAAGAAGGGAGGCAAATTCCAGTCCTTTAAGAAGTTGTTTGGCAAAAGGAAAAAGAAAGATCCTTCACCATCACGGGAGGAGGCAGTGGGGAAGAAGAGCTACTCTCCACAGAGGGTCAGCAATGGGACTTTCTCTTCAGATGAGGAGACCCTGGAGGACAATCTAAGGTAATAACGTCTACCTTCTTCTGTCACTGGCAGCATCCCGGGTGGGGAGTAGAATCTCCAAGGAGGCAGGTGCCATTTTTTGCTTTCAGCAGGCAGGAACCACATCACAAATGTGTCCGAAAAGTGCTGCTGCCACTTGGTCCATTCTCTGTGGAGGGTTCACCTTGGGGACTTAGCAGGCAGACAGTCTGACCTCATGTGCTGGGAGTACATAGGGTGTAGTGGGGCTCATTGGGTTAACAGCCTGTTCCTGTGTCCTGTGAGTTGGCAAAGAGAAGGTGGCCATAGACTAGAGCTCACACAAGTTGAGCACACAGATCACTCATGCACAGGTGAGCGCCTTCCACACCACTGGGATCTCTAGCACCTTTTGGAACATGTTCTTGCTGGAGCTTTTAACTCCTTTTTTGTCCCCTACCTCCATCCTTTTCTTCCTGCATCTCTTCTTTTGCCTGCCTTCCTTCTTTCCTTTCTTCCTTTGCTCCCTTCCCCTAACCCCATCTCCATCCCCTCCCTAAATGTGACTGTGATAGAGTCAAGAACTCAGAAAATCGGGGTGGGGCCTTTGTCACCTAAAAGCTGGGAATCAGTCCAAGTCAGAGATGGCTAAACTCTGCTACTGACAGCATGGGACTCAGTTCTGAGAGGGCCTTTCCTAATTACCCAGTCCCATTCATCTTCCCATGCTTGTGCCGTCTGGTATCGCGTACGTGGGGCTCCAGCAAAGAACTTGGCGCTTCCTGTGGAAATTATTGATTTGCTTTTCTGTCTCTTACTCAGCTGTCAGTCCTGTGAGGTCAGGGACAAGGTTTTATTCAGCCTGCTATTAGCAGTTCCCAAAAGGTTTCCTATGAATGTCTGGCACTGCCTAAGTTAATCCATGCTAAAGGAGTACATGATATAAGCTGTGATATTCTTAAGATGTGCCAAGGACAAAGACAGAAACAGTTGAGAAGTACATGTCAGTAGGTAAATTCTAGCACATGCTATGTTGTGCCCCAAAAGCCCTCAGACCAGCAGTGCACAGTGAGCCCTACTGTTGAACAGCAATATCTGTTAGTTCTCACCCGTCCTGACTCTTTGCCTTGATAAGCCTGTATTTGTCTTCCATTGTCTTTGCTATTTTGCTAAGAAAACTATCAAATTTAATTTTTCTCTTTAGGGTTAAAAAAAAAAACCTTTCAGATAAAAGGATTTAAGTGAAAGGAGAATCCAGCTAACACTAGGTAATCCAGCTATTGGGACATCAGAACTGATACGTAGTTGAGCACTTTTCAATATGGTTCAAGTTTAATTTTACTTCAGTTTCTTCAGTTATAAAATAGGAAAGTGAAGTGCAATCAAGAAGTAGTTGAGCCAGGCATGGTGGCGCACGCCTGTAATCCCAGCACTCGGGAGGCTGAAGCAGGAGGATTGCAGTGAGTTGGAGACCAGCCTGGGCTGCATTGTGAGTTCCATGTCTGTCTCAACTACATAGTGGGATTCTGTCTCAAAAAACAAAAAGGAAGCAGTTCAATGAAAATGAGGTCAAATCTGGAAGCTCACCTTTGGACAGACAGTCCTATGAAGACAACATGTCCTTTTATGGTAGCTTATGGTTTTGAAAAGTCCCTGGCATCTTGTATGTTGGACTCTTACAGGAGCTGGGGATTTGGACGTTCTCTTACCATTTAAGTTCTATCTTTCATTTACCTCCTGAAATTTTCCTTAAGGTTTTTGAGTTTTGCAAAACCTTGGAAAATTCCACACTGGCTGAAGCAGCTACATTTCTGTAAATAATGTCACCTGTTCTCAGTGAAATTTATGAGTCATGAGCTATATTTTAATTGAACATTTGTTTATATAAAATGTTTGTCTCCTAAATAAGAAGGATAAGCTTTGTCCGTGCATTTTAAACAACTCTAAATATTTTAAAAGTGAAACATAAATATAGAAAATGTCATTCAGAAATATGTCATATGCATTCCTCCTTTCTTCTACAAATTGAAAATTGCAAACTAATTTTATCCACAAAGTAAATATTACATGTAATATTTATAGCATAGCTGAACTTCTGATTATCTTCCTTATTTAAGGTAGAAAAAATGAAAACCATTGTTTCCAACAAATTCTTATTTTCAGTTCACTGTTCCTTTAACAGACATATTTGTTACTTTACATTGTGTAATGATTTTTAAAAGTTTTCCATATATTTTATTTTGCTTTCTCCAAAATGGAAAGCTTTCACCAAAGCACAAAACTTAACATTTTGGTAACATGATCTTGGGCAGAGGTGCAAGAAGGCAGAACTCCTTGTGTGTGTGTGTGTGTGTGTGTGTGTGTGTGTGTGTGTGTTGAATTCCTAGCAAAAACTACTGGAAATGGGGCAGCTGGGCCTGTGTCTGCAGGGCTGGGAGCCCATGAAGGTGGGCTTTCTGCACTTGGTGAGGATTTGTTCGCTGAACTTGAATATGCTGTTGATCTCCAAGAGTCTGTAATTGTAGCAGCACCTCTCTGGCCCAAAATAGCCTCTTACTATCTGCTGATTCTGCCTGAAGTTTTCCATTTCCTTGGGCTTTTAAAGCATCTGCTCTTTCTAGACTGCTGCTCTGAAATTACACGTGCCTTGGGAAAAGTGAAGCAATAAAACGTGACCAGTGTTTAACAATTTAATGTGATTTGCTTTGTTAATTAAATACAACTGAAATGTTTCCAAAAGTATGTTAAATAGATGTTATGAGTAAAAAGAAAGAAAGGGTCATCTTGGTAAAAAGGTTTGGGAAATTCTGGTAAAAAAAAAAATTAAACAAGATTCTTTGTATGTTGTATTACAGAGCATTCGCTATTTCAAGTGCCCTATGAATATTCAGAAAAGGGATGTAGGATGGATCATTTCCTAGATTCCTTTGAACACAGACCCTTTTTTTCCACAGAGAATTTGCCGTTGGATACATAGTAAAGCTAGTACAAAGCCAGACATGGTGACACACGCCTGTAATCCCAGCACTTGGGAGGCTGAGGCAGGAGAATTGCCCTACATTTGAGGCCAGCTTGGGCTATATAGTGATTTTAAGGCCAACCTGAACTACATAGCGAGACCTTCCCTTGAAAAAAACAAAGCTACTATAAATGGAACTCAATATGCGTTTCACAGTGAGGGCAAACCTTTTAAAGAGCTTTCAGTGATACAAACAGCTTGCTGCAGCACATATGACACAAGTTCACCACCACTGACATAGGTGAATTTGTGTAATATTTACCTTGACTCTCTTAAGATAGAAAACTCAAGCCAGAGTGACTAGGTCAGGCAGCTGTTCAGTACCTGAACAATAACCCAAACTGTAAACAGTATATTCTTAACTGTCCCGGACTGCCCAAGGAAGCAGCCTTAATAAGGAGCTAGTCACATGGCCCTCGGTTATCTGCTGGTTCTGGGTCTCTAGACTCAGACTTCTGCTCTCCTCCTGCTGTCTGAATGAAACTTTGCTTTTTTCCTAGCTCCTCAGTTGTTCTGCCTCCAGTTTCTCCTGAACACCCAGTGTCTACTACAGCACTTTATATTGTGCCGACTCAGTCTAAGTGCAGTGAACGTTGAAGGGGCTCCAGGGAGCATGAGCTTACTCTAGGACTGGAACAATTTGGGAAGGATTTAGGATGCGAAGGCCTTGAGATGCAGGACTTAGAGTCACTGAGGAGCAAGACCATGAATCTATTGGATAATGGCACAGAAACTTGCATACAAAATTGGATGTGGCAAATCAAATAGGAGAGAACATTCCAGCTCACTCTGTGAGGCCAGTGTTGCCCTCACACCAAAGCCAGGCAAAGATGTCAGAAGAGAAAACTACAGATTCATGTCCATATAGATAGAGACACAAAAGTCTTCAACACAATACTAGCAAACTGAATCTAATCTTTACATATAAAAAGGATCACATACCACAGTCAAGTGGAATTTCTTCTACTAACATAAAGTTAGTTTAACACACAAAAATCAGTCACCATGTTAATAGAGTAAAAAGCTAAAACCATACAATCATCTCAAGAGGTGCATAAAAAGCATTTGACAAAGTCCAACACATTTTATGATTAAAAAAGAAGAACAAAAAATTAGGAATAGATAGGAACTAATTCAACTTGATAAAGGATGTCTAGAAAAACTCAGCTAATGACAAAATGGTGAAAGAATGGATATGTTCCCCTTAAAATCAGGAACAAGATGAGGATGTGTTTTTTCATTCCTTTTGTTTAACATTATACTGTGCTGTTATAGTGTATACTATACTAGTAAAATAGTACTGAGGCAATCACAAAGGAAAACAAAAAACTTCAACCTTGGAAAAAAAGAAGCAAAACTATCTCTTTGCAGATGCCATGAAGATATACATATGGAATCCACAAGCATAAAGACTATGTGACTAATAAATAGTGTTAAGCAAGGTTGCAGGGTACAGATTGGAGTGTTAGTATCTCATCTGTACTTCTGCATATTAGCAGTGGATGATCTGAAAATGAATGTAGGAAAACTATTTCATTTCCAATAACATCAAAAGAATAAAATACTTAGAAATAAATTTAACAAAAGCAGTGTAAGACTTGTACAGTAAAAATGAAAATATATCACAGAAATAATCTAAAGAAGATCTAAAAGATGAAAAAACATCCCATGTTCATGGATTGGAAAACATAGCATTATTAAGAAGTCATTACTCCCCAAAGTGATCTGCAGGTATTCCATGAACTCCCTACCAAAATCCTAGTTGCCACCCCCCCCCAGATTAGCAAGTGAATCCTAAAATTTACAGAAATGCAAGGGACCCAGAACAGGCCCACTAACACACACACACACACACACACACACACACACACACACACACACACATCTTAGAAAGAAAAACATAGAGGACTGTGGCTTCCCAATTTAGAAGCAGTACAGAGCTATTATAATCTAAACAATATGTATTGCTATTAGTATAGATTATATAGAGATGGATGGGATTGAATCAAGAGTCTAGAAATAA